TTTGCCCTTCTATTTTTGATAAATGCTAATCCAAATTCTGGCAGGTTTTTAGTAGCCATGGCTACTACTTATACAGAAATGAGTAGTTTGATAGGGGCTGGTAAATAGTTGTTTACTTGGGGCTCCGTACTGGCCCTGATTTGGGGGATCTAACTCCCTGTTGTACTGGCTAATTAGCCCTATGACTAACTTGTGCTCTTTATACGGATCGTTAGTTGTAAAACTTCCCTCTAAGTTCTGTACTAAATAAAATGTTTAATATTCCCCAATCATGTGGTTATCCAGTGAGGATACGCTTTTAGCATTTAGTCAACCATAATATTTCATAAAAGTTCTTTGACCTTGTTTTCGAAACTTGGTCATATTGGTAGGAAGACTTAGAGAAACGCCCCTAATCCGGATTCTATTGTATGCATCATCATTTCCAGAGTAGAACCGTGGACTTGGTACATTCCCAGACGTTTCGCCGGCATCGTAGTCGGCATCATCAGTGAGTCTTGCCATTCTTAGCACCACACTACGACTCGTCAAAGAGACAAGTGAAGTCGATCCTTTGACCAAACGTGTGTTAAACAATTGTGGTATCTCCCCTTCTGCCCTGGGCTATTCACATTTCCTATATCCTCCTATCACGCTTTCCCTTTTTCACTTTTTACCGTGCTTATTTCGATATAGTGTGGTGTGCTCCTTTGAGCGTCTTTCATGGAAACCATTCACACTTCACGCTGGCGTTCCTACCCCCCTTCATCCTTGTGTTGGGAATGTTGATCAGAGTCTGTCATATTGTTACGCAGTCCTTCTTTCCTAGGTTTTATCACAAGCTCTCTCTTGTCCCGTAAGATCCGTCTACTCTCTCCCTGATTCACATATTTCATTCGACCCCTGCCACCCCATATGTGCTGCTTACGGCGTTATTCGTCCTCCCCCTGCATCTGGGTGATTAATTCGAGGCTAAAACCTCTGAGTAAGTCTCATGGTCACGCCTTTTCTACATGGATCACGTATATGGTGAAAACAGACCTACTGTCAGCCAACTAGCTCCAGTCTCTGCCGCGTCTATCCTGTTTCTATCCGTAATACCAAGTATATGACTTCCCATGCACACCATGCCACACCATCTTGGTCTTCATACCTTCGAATAATATTTCATATTTAATCTTTCTTAAGTCTTTAAATTCTTTGATTTTTTGCTGGAACTAGTCTGTCTCAATTTTATTTTTATATAAAGGAGTGGCGACGGGGCAGTTCACATTATGCGTTGGTGCATTTTTAGAACTTGTGACTAGATATAGAGGCATTCTAAATTGTCGTCTCATATTTGCATTAATTTTTTCCGGTCACATTCGATATTTAGTTCATCTTTTTGTCATGTGAGCATATATGGCATGCGCCATTTGTCTTTTGCCCTATGCCTTGAACTGCAAAACTGTATCATCTAGAAAAGCAACTATAGAAATATTCTATTTTTGGAGGCTGATAAGTCTTTTTTTAGATCTCACGTTTGTACCAAGATGTTTATGGTCTGCTGATCGTTATAAATGCAGTCTACTCAGCCATGAATAGCCTACTTTTAAACAAGCTCCAAATCAACCAGTCTGGGCAACGGGGAAACCTATGGTCATCGGACTTCACTGGATTCTATTTGAAATATAAAAAGTCAGATTAAAACAATCTCTAAGGCCCTGATCCAATTCAAGAAATATTGTGAGAAATGTGGTTCCATTATATCCTTCTCATAGACAGACCGAAAACTAGTGGACTTATAGCTTCGTCAAGATGATTAATGGTGATGAGCCCTTAGGCAAATATGAAGTAGCTAGTGGGGTCCAAAACCCGAACTGATTGCTTTCGAGGATGGTTTCATTAGTAGTCTTGAAATATCTTGCGCTTTCTAAGACTTTGATCTTATCACAAGTAGTAGTAGCATTATAGTAATATATACTTTTACTAGGTTTTTCGCTCAAATCACTTGGACGTTCACCCCTTTTCCTCTTACAATTGATAGGGGAATTCGATTTTCTCTATTTGCTGATCACCATTAACTGAACACCAACTTGTACCAAAACAAGCATTTTTAAAGCCAAACTAAAATTAATAAGTTAACAAGGATGGGCATGTATGAATGACAATTGATAGATATGTACCATTACCCTAGTCTCAATCTGTCATATGTGACCTTCTTGTGAGCTCACTATCGTTAACCAGTTGCTTGTTGGCCAAGCGGTTATCTTCTTAGTCCACTGGCTTCCTACTGTCTTGGAGTCCTTTTTTGTCCCCATTAATTTTGGGCTGAGTAAAATCATGGTATTATCCAGAACCGATATTTAGCCAGGTCCCGGATTAACACTTATTCTTATCTTTCCTTTCGCCTATTTTTTTCTTTTTAATCACATCATTACACTCTTGACTGCTATTAAAGTATTAATAGTTAGTATGACTCGATATGTCATTTCGAAGAAAAAATTCTTTGCAAGCGATTTGTGAATTGGTCTCATCGGAGACCGAACGAATATGTCCTTGGAGTAGAGAACGTTGGATAGTGCAAAGAAGCCTTCGGCTCACTGTCCTTCGACTGGGTGGCAGATATTGTCCGAGTGAAAAGCTATTGTTTACAAAAAACCATGCGAATATAATGAGCTAAGAAGAGAAAGGTTGTCGGTTGCAAATACATTCACTTATAACTTATTATTATATTCTTAATCAGATATATCATGATCAGGTTGGCTGCTTCATGCTCACCCTGCATGCTTACAGATGCTTGGTGTGATGCATGAAAATAATTTGGATTTGATCACTGCTGTTTTTTTATGTCAATAAACCGATGTATACTTCTATGATATTTAAGCATCTTTAGGTATGTCATATAGTGTATTGTGCATATGCAAGGTTCAGTTCATGTGAAGTGTAAATTTTAACCAGACTCGAGGCTATTCAAGCCTCCTTTTACTTAGCGGTTCTTCCCGCTCCCTCTCTTCCTGCATCTTCTTAAGCTTAGCAAACAGCTATAAATAGATCCGCCTCTCTTGCCCACGGTCATTCCTCCTCTTCATGATGTTGGCTCTTTTGTTTATTTCTATAAGCTCCCTGATCTTACGCTTTGGTGTGAAATCTCAGTCCAATCGCTAAGTTTCGTACCATTCTCTTACTTATCCTGTATTAACTATGTGCTCAGCCCATTCAGATTTTTGAATCCATAGAATTTTACACTCGGCCTTCTTTTCGGGTTTGACGTTTTTCCCTCTCATAAGTATTATCATATGATGAAAAAAACTTGTAGCAGTATGCTTTAGAAACAGGGTTTGAAAGTTCCCATACGTCAGACATACTGAGAAAAGTCTTAGTAATAATCCAGGAGCAGTTCAGGATGGAACACTTATATTTCTTTGCCACAGCGTTATAATGTTGGCTTCTTTGGAAGCGAACAAAAGGTTGGAAAGTCTCTAATTATAAATTTCAGAATCATGCCCAGCTAGTGACTTCAACGAGAAAATGCAAATACTCCCAAATTTGGCTTTGGGGACTTCA